CCCTTCAACTTTGGTTCACTGTTGGGAAACTGCACATATAACAACCATAAGCCGACTTTTCACAATGGAGATAAGATAAACGAAAAAGCCACATGTACTGCATGTGCATCTACAGCATTGTGCATCGATTGGTCCCTACTGCTTCTTCGTCTAGGAGAGATGAAGGAGAATTACCCAAAGCAACATCCCTTGCAGATGCTAAAGCATCCAGGACCGGAATCGCATGGAGATGCTAAAGCAGCCGTTCCCAAACTGTGGGTCGCGAGAGGCATCAAGGTGGGTCGCGTACATTTTCCCAGTATAAAAAATCACAACTTCTGCATCCGCTCAGGATAAAACACGCCTTCCAGAAAAGGTCGATAAGTTTTCTTCACGTCGTAATTACTTTGAAAAAGCCTCGCTCTTAACTCCAGTGGGTCGCGAAATTTTCTGTACGTCAGCAAGTGGGTCGTGATTCAAAGAAGTCTGGGAACCGCTGTGCTAGAGTATCTGTCCTCCCACAAGGGGTCAAATAAGCCTTTCCAGTAATAAGAGTAACAATAAAAAAAAAAAGGTCGCGTACCTAATCTTGGAAAGTATGATCCGCCCACGGAACCACGGGCAGGAATTTCCTGGTTTATTCCAGGGATATGTTACATCTTCAGAGAAATATTTTAAGATATTCAATTGTCTTCCTCTGAGATCTATGTGAGAAATCACAGGGAACTGTGTCAAAGGGACAGGGGACTCATTTCAATAGAATTCGGGAAGCGACTCCCTATTAGGACCACGTTGCCTCCATCTCACGCCTTTTTTGGAACCTTCTCAGCCACTTTGGCTCGTCTTCGGCGAATGATTGGCCGGCCAACTCACAAGTGACTCACAAGTGTGAGTTGACCGGCCAATCATTCGCCGAAAATTAGTCAGCTTCCTCAGCTATGGCCCGACGATAAACTAACGAACATTTTTGAATGGGGGGGGGGGGAAGAAATTACTGCATCAGCTTGATTTCCAGAAACTTTCTCAACTTATTGACTCTTTCCTCATTCGTCAACACAAGACAAGAACATGAAATAGACAATGTTTTCTGACGTTTCGAGTTTCATCTGACTCACTCAGTTCATTCACCTTAGATCCAGAAAAAAAAAATTGTTTCCCAAGTCGATCAAGTAGAACAGGGGTGGTAAAAGGAAAGACCGCAGAACTAATAAATTTATTAAGTTGATCGTTTTCAGCGTCGTGTTTAGCGTCCTTTAGTGTCCTTTATTTAGCTGCCGAAATACGACTTCACAAATATCGCCCTGGTCAAAGCAGAAATCGTAAAAAAAAGTCTTTTAGGATCAAAATTTAAATTGCCGGGAACACATCGGCAGCCACCAATTGAGCTTGACCGGCCGACTTCCAATTTTGACCGAGGGGTTCATCGAGCGAACCGAACTTCCAGATCTAGCAACCCTGCGTACCCTCCGTTCCCCACTCGGCGGAAGCAGGCCGAGGGGGGACAGGGTTGCCAAATTTCGTTCTGGGACAGTCGGTACAAAAATTTCATCGGTGGGATTGGGTTCAACGGTGATTCAACGATGACCACAGTCGAACTCACGTTGAAAACCGGCGATTCAACGATGAATTACCATCGATTTGCTGGTTCAACATGTTGAACTTTTCCTGTAAGAGAGCCCGAACGACCGTTGCCAGACCAATCGACTTCAGTGTCATACGAGATGCGATATCACGATGAAGTCGATGAATCGCTATAAGATCGATGAAGATCCCTGTCACGATCCGATCTGACAACGTAACAAGACGAAGAGATGCCAGAGGGTGACTCACAACCGACTCACTCCCTTCTGATTTCGCAACTCTGGGGAGATGTCGGCTGAGCCTTTTTTTTGTTTAACCCTAGAAGTGCCAGAAGCCGCACGGTGGCCTACCAACATCGAATTTATCGACGATTGGCACTTCTAGGGTTAAGATCCATCGCCTGAGATTCGGAGCCGGCTCGAACCCATTTCTTTAGCGTTCCCGTCAACACCTTTTTTTTCCAGATTGTCTCGATTGGCTGCTTTGGTTAAAACCGTCGAAATGTGCGGGATGAAATTCCCTGCAAAATAATTTTTCCTTCTCAATCTGAAAATGTTATCCTCTGCATCTCCATAGACATGACATTTCCCTAATCATGTCCCAAAATTGGCTAAAATTTGGCGATTTGGGCGAATATTGGCCTAACATTGCTCCACGATGTTCGGGCAAAATTTTGCAGCAATATTGCGAAGTAACACATGGCCAGCACGTTTTCAACATGAAGCTTGGGACTAAAATATTGTCAGATCTATTCCAAGAATTCGTCCGAAAAATTTGCGCCGAAATAAACCAATTTCAATTTGCCAATTATATTTTTTATTATAAATATTGAAGAAGTCAATTGAAAACTATCGTCAGCAGCAATCTGCCTAAGTGCAGATCGTTCGCGCAGAAATATTGCCAATTTCTCACCGTATGTTTGCAAAGTGAAGGAAACAGGAGGAAAATTTCCGAGTGGAATTTGGCTTCCTCAGTTTGATGACATCTGGGTGACATCTTGATGACACGTTTTTCTAATCCCGGAATCCTGGCTGCTTAGTCGGGTGGCTACGATTCTGTTCGTCTCGAGACACAGGCGATTTCGTTGGATCACTGGCAAAGAAAGTGTTATTGAGATTAGTTAGCTACGAATATGCATCGAAAGAGCATCGAATAAGCATTAGTAGAGCATGGATATTTTTTTACTCGAATGGCAGGGCCTTCTTTGATTAATCGTCGATAAATCATTATACAACTATGTAAATTTAAACAGTTACACATAAAAATTACGCAATTTAAGTTACGTAACTCATTGGCCAACAACCATCCACATTTCCCTTCGCCTTTCTCGGTTCCGCCCACTTGTCATGGCAGCATGATGAGAGCAATCTCTCCCTCGGGACTGAGTCCTCATGCCGTTTCGAAGCACTCATAGAAGAAGCACATTACACATTACAGGAGGGTATTAGACATTACAGAAGGAGCACAGCTGCAAGAGGGAAAAGGAGAATGAAGCGACCCTGTCCTCCGGGGGAAGAAGGACGCAATCAGATTCAGATGCATCGCTGGCGAGCCTTCTTGCTGACGAGTTCCTGCCTCGCTTATGAAGAAAAGCGACAGACTTCCTTGGAGGTCAGCTCGCTTCGACGGACCTCTTTGGGGGTATGCTCGCTTCGACCGACCTCCTTCGAGGTAAGCTCGCTTTCCTCCCTCGAAGCGAGCAGGCCTCCTTTCTTTCACCTCCGCACACTTCCGGGGAGGATTGCTCGCTTGGAGGCATTGTTGCGTGATTCGGTTGCTGCTTGATCCTCGGCTGAATCATGCGGTGCTCTGTGAATCCTTCGTAAAGTCCCCTGCCCCAGATTTTCGGGCGGGGACGAATCCGAAATCGAAATCGATCCGCATTAATGGAATGTTTGAGACGCTGTTGAGTCTCGATCCGCTATTATGTGGCGCTGTCCTTCGTCTGAAATTAATGGCACTAATTCCCACAGATTAGCATAAATCCGCATGTTTATGCTAATCTGTTGCCCGTATGATAAAACTCTGTAGAACGTTGCACGAAATATTTAAAAGAGAAAAATCCGTGAAATTCCAAGAAAAATATTTGACTTTTTTTCCCTCAGAATTCCCAGAGATTTTCTTCGCAGAAAGCATTTTTGCGATTTTTCCTCAGGGAAATTTCTCCCTTGAATACCGATGGCAGCAGAGAAACCACAAATCCCGAGCGCAAAGACCAGCACGGCTAATCGGATTCACTATCGTCTAGCCCGTTTTGATCGATCACCGACCCCGTTGTGTATTCCGCACCGATCGATCGCTCCATGCATCGATTCGCATTGAATTCCCGCCACAGCCCAAACAGAGCGCCAGACGCGAGACGTCACCGGCCTGACCCCCAGTCTGGCACTGACAACTTCCTCCCCACCCCCCATCCATTAGAGACATCTAGTGAAGTCTGATTGAAGCTCTTAATTGCCTTCACTCAGACTTCTCTGGTTTTCGCGCCAGTTCCTCCACGGGCCAGGAAGGAAGCTGTCCGCACGTGAATGACACTTGAACTTGAGATGTGCTGTGGTTTTCAGAATGAGGCGCTCTTGTGCTCTTACTTATCACATGTGCATTTTTTGTAGAGTCCTCTTGAGGTCTTTTTTCAGGCTTTCATTGTTTGTTTTTTTTACGGAAAGGGCGTATTCCCTTGATATTCTGGCTGTCACAAAAATAGACAGCTCTGGCACTCTCGCATTCTACGCTAATCTATACCGATCGGCCGACCTGGGAATCCCCTATCTCCCACGATGCACAAGGATGCGATCCGGTTGATCAAACAAAGCATATCTGGAGTTCAATCCCCGCCCTCTGCGTTTCCGGCAAGCCAGACAAAGCTACGGTCGTCTGACTCAGAAGTCGGTTTCGCCGATAAAATCCTCCTGCGTGCCCCAAAAGTGGGAAACGCGATCCTTCGAGCTGAAGGTAAAAGAACAAGGAAGTCGAGGATCTGGAAAGTTTGCCAATACGAGGGTGGCGCATGTCATTTCGAGATATGGCTCCTGTTCAGACGTCGAGGTTCAACGAGACGATCATGCAGCTTGGAAGAGCCAGATGCGTGCACACGAGAACCCTCCATCGCGCTCTCCCGCGGGAATTTCATTCAGCTCCGCGGCGCTGCGGGGTGGGTGAATGCGGCCTTGCGCCATGGACCCGATGAACATTCTCTTGACGTTTGCTGACGTCATGCACCCCCTGGCCAGTTCATTGATTGAGTAGCGGGAGCGGCAAGTGCAAGGCCGCAGTCGCCGGTGGGCTCTCAAGCCTGGTGGCTGTCCTCCCTCTGTAGTTCGGTGTTCTTAGTCTACGTGAGCTCAGGGTCTTTAAGACAGGTTGTTCCATCAAAACGCCATTAGATAGGCCTGGACCTTCCATCAGTCACTCGATCGCACGTGCCATCCGCCCAACCGAAAATGCACACCATGGACCAGATCAGCATGCCCTCTGCCTACATGAACTACAGCTACACTTTCCAATTCGAGGACGACTTCAAGCACTGGGTCAAGAAAGAATGGATGGAGAGGAACTGGAAGTCCTGGTGCTTCTATTCGGCAGGACTGTACATGATGGTCATCTTCTGTGGCCGGCATTACATGCAGAATCGGCACAGGTTTGAACTCAGGACACCCTTAGTGCTGTGGAATATGTTCTTGGCCATATTCAGCATTGTGGGGGCTTCAAGAACCGTGCCAGAGCTGCTGCACGTCCTGACCAAATACGGATTTCACCATTCAGTGTGCATTCCTACGTAAGGCACTCTCTTTCCTGTATTCTCCTCCATTCCTTATTTATGTCCTTGGCTGGATTCATTTTGAATGCATGAAGTTCATGAGCTAGTCATGGGTTTTATGCCAGATCTGGTGCCTAAGTCATAAAGGAACCAAGTTAAAGTCTTTGTTATGCATCAGCATGTAGTGTAACCAAGGATAATGTTATGTGTCCCCTTTGTGTTAGCTGAATCTAGCATGACTATTTAAATTTCAGAACAAGTGTTTTTTTTTTCTGAGGTGACTTTGTAGGTGTCCTCCTTGGTCTTCAAGTTTGTCATTGGTTGCCCTATGGTGTCGTTCTGGTGAAGTAAGGAGTCAGCTTAAAGATATGCATAGTCACTCTGATTTACTAGAGACCAATTCCTGGCCTATGCCTCTTCATGTTTACAATTTTAATTTAATGAGAATTACTTTTGCTATTGATTTTTTTATTTATTGCTCTGTCATATAGCCAAGGCTATATTAGAGTGATTTCCTAACTTTTCTCTGATCTAAAGACTTTGACATTCAGGAATAATAGAAATTAAGTCAGATTGATTGGTAAATGGTTTGATATCCCGATCAATTAACAAAAAAGGAAATGAACCACTTTTTGTGGAATAAATGCACATTTTGGTCAAGCAAATAATCCTCCCAAAAGCTGGTCCAATCAGGGTTCATTGATTCTCAGATTTTTGTGAACCCATTGTTGCTGAGGATTTATTTCAGGTCATTGTGCCCTAGACACTATTCTTATTAATTAGTAATATTCATGGAGCTACAATCTGCAAGTCATGTATTTACACCACACTGATTGCATATTATAAAATTAAATTGAACTTTGGACTGGTCTGACTCCTTTCTACCTAGTGCACTAGCACCAGAGTCCATAAGTACTTTGCACCAAACTTTTAAGTTTCTTGCTTTCATGTGGCTCTTCCTTACAAACAGAAATTATTTTGCTGTGAGCTCATTTCTCTGTGAGAAGTGCAGGCTATATGAGCTTATGCAAGAAGTGAGAAGGTCATCTGCAACATAAGTCTTGTATCCGTTCAGCAACTCTGTAAGTCCAGGGTGGCACTCATTATCTAGTTCTCCTTGTGAAGTACCTCCATTTTAATTTTGACAGGAAGTGCTTCTTAATGCTTTAAATGTGCACCATCCAAGCACCTTGGAGCACTGCTGGTGCACTTGAAAATTTGAAGGACCGTACTGCCCTCTTGATGTCATCCCTGTGGTTGTGAGCATGTAGAAATGAAACTTTATGCAAATCACACAAGCATCTCTGCAAAATTATAATAAAATGCACTTTCCAGATTTTTAAACTTTCCATGCTACATTTTTGTGGGGCTCCCTTAACCCTTTCAAACCTGAATTAAGACCACTATTGGAATAATATCCTTTTTTGCATTTTTGAGCTCTTTTGCTATTGTAATTTAAATTGTTTTGCATATCGTTTTTATATTTTGTATACATTTACCATATCATACCATTTATAATATATTTTACATTTAATTAGATAACTGAAGATTACAAAACTGACAGGTGAAAGAAGGCCTCCAAAGGAATTGAGCCACGTACAATTGTAGTGCAATATGGGGCCAAAAGTCTTGAGAATTACAAGAAATTACCATAGACAATGAAAATGCAATTTCCATTGGAATGGATGTCAGGTCTGAAGGGGTTAAGAGGAGTGTATGGAAGTGACTTCATTGTTCCTACCAAGTTGAGAAATTGAGAGTAGAAGCAAACTTATGTTACTTTGATTCATATTTACTCAAACAAAATGTGCTACCTTATAGAATGAATGTTCCATTATTTTTGTTTATTTTGGAAGCTGCTCACTAGATGAACTGGTTCAAACTATGTCATTTTACATTGAATGATTGGAAGTCAATGCTAAAGACTAAAACTGTTTGAGTCATAGTGCTTGTGAAAGTGTTGTTTCATGAAAGGATGCTTTTTAACAACTGTATTATTGATCCATTTGGAAATATTGCTCATAGGTGATGTTCTTACAGGTTCATAGAGAAGAACAAGGTGAGTGGGTTCTGGACATGGATGTTCATCCTGTCCAAGGTCCCAGAGCTGGGTGACACGGTCTTCATCGTCCTGCGGAAGCAGCCGCTCATCTTCCTCCACTGGTACCACCATGTCACGGTGCTCATCTACACCTGGTACAGCTTCTCAGAGTTTGCTGCCCCAGGCCGATGGTTTATCTCAATGAACTATGTTGTGCACTCCCTCATGTATACATATTACACACTGAAGGCGATGCGTTACCGTGTCCCACGTGCCGTGGCCATGATCATCACCATCTGCCAGGTGGCACAGATGATCCTGGGCATCCACGTAAACATCTTTGCATACAACACCAAGATGCAGGGGGAGTTCTGCCAAGTGACTGAGCAAAACATCAAGGTCTCCTTCCTCATGTACTTTAGCTACTTTGTGCTCTTCACACGGTTCTTCTACCTTGCATACATGAAGAAGCCAGGGATGTCACCCACTTGTTCAACAAGTTCTCTGAAGGACATGCAACGGGTCAAAGCTGATTAAAGTAATGCATGCCTTGCATGAAGTACTAAATTGTACCAGAAGTTCCCCAAAGGACATCATTGGGTCAGAGTCAATCTATGACTCACGGCATGAGCAATGTACTGAATTGTACCAAGAAAGATACTGCCATATAAGAGGGATTTTCCCTCACAGTCACAGATTCTAATACCTTTAGCAATTTAGTACATTGTGATCAGAATTAGAAAACTCGGTAAATTCTTGCTCATTGTCCTGGTGAAGGTGACGTGATATAGAGGTCATCAGATGAGTGTGCTGTCTTTGTTGCTACTGTTCTATTGATAAATCCTACTCGGTGTACTCATCTGGTAGAGATAGGTATTTTTTCAAGGCCTTCGCTTTGGTGCTTTATTCCAAGTCACAGCACATTCTACGTGATGCTTTATTGTCTTTTATTTCTTATTTTATTTCATGGAGTAATAACTGAACGTGAATAAAATTATCCCCACTACCGGGACATTCTTGGTTTTTATTTTCATTATAGTAAATGAAAAATCAAGTAGCTGCTTCTGGTTACGAACAGGTTTTCTTGCTTGTGGAATGCAGCGGATTTAAATAAAATAGTGGGATTGTCCCAGAAACGCGGAAAACATGTTTTTTTCTTCCCGAAGATGCCGTTGAACCAATTCCTTTGTGTATGACGACGTGATCGAGGCACGTGAAGGACGAGATTCCACGCTAGACAGACAGGACAATGGTCTCATTCGAGATAGATTCAGGGGCAGAGTGGAATATCATTCGGATGAATCCATCACGAAGAGGAACGGATTGACCCACATTTGTGGGACCGGCTGGTCGAAAGATGAACAGGTTCAAGGCATCACGGGGGGGTGCCCCTCGGCGTGCCTTCAAGTTCTGCAAGTGCGAGCCATGCATGCAGGTTTTCTGGCAAAGTTACTTGCTCGGCTTGACATGTAACATTCCCCTTCGTTACCGCAAGTTACCGAAGACTTAGAGGAGCACCTGGGATGAATTCATGCTTCGTCACCATTCAAGGGGTGTCACTTCATGTCATTCGCTCCGCTATCGACCTTGGTTTCCTACTTTAGCTTGGGTTAAACGTTGACTGACAGCTTAGGGCAGTCACTCTAGATTCCTCGATCACTCGAGGCGATTGACTTCCTTTTTCTGCGCTGGCCCCACGAATACGATCACGACAGGTCGTGTGCGTGACGTCATCCACGGGGCAGTGCGTGAGCCGAGCGCCACCGCCAAGGCTGATTCGTGGGAAACGGACTTTCTCGTGACTCCGTTTTGTAATGGACTTGCACTACAAAGGGCCCTTTGCTTCCTTCTTGGAATAGGGGGCGATGCGTTCGGGAAACATTGTACAGCGACGGTGTCTAATCTTATTTGTCTATCGCGATCAAACAAGAATAATGGTTTGCTCTGCTTTACCTATCACTTCTCCTTAAGTTCACTTAATTGCATTGGTCAGTGATTGCCGTTCGCTCCGAAAAAAAAATCATTTCATTCGCATGAGAAAGATTACCTTAATTTCCGGGAGATTCAAACTGTCTTATCCAAACCTATGCGAAGGAGAAAATAAAATATGAAGGAAATCCTTCGTGGAATCTGTATGCCATCATGAATCCTGCACTGTTGCTTATATGGAAAGCAACACTCCAAAGTGCATCACTGCTCTTTTATTGCGTAAAAATTGTACCAGTAAGACTTGTAACTTGTCGTGTCGTGTTTTTCGTCTGTGGGATAAAATGAAAGTATTCTGAAACGTAGCTGGTAGCGCGTGAAGCGAAGGGTTCCACATACGTGGTGCGGTGGCTTTTCGTGGCTTCACCTTCGGAACCGAATTCCACGGTGAAAGTGGGTTACGGCGTTGGATTTCCGTGGAGAGGAACCGCCAGATCACGCGTTTCGATGGGGCAGAGTCACCCCCGGATTGGTTCGGGCGATCGGTTCCGATTGGTCTGGCCAGACCGAACGATCGGCTCCGATTGGTCCAGCGAGTCACGCCACCTCCATGTGGAAACCACATGGGGACGCTTGCGGGGATGGATTGCAGCATCGGAGTCGCTTCGTGGAGGACGTGCCTCCACGGCGTTTCCGTCTCTTCGATGCGAGAAAAAAACCTGGGACTCTCAAGGTCTTCCATGGCAAGTCCCAGGTATTCTTTATCTTCCCTCGTCCACAAATACATGAGTCAGATTAACAGTCGGATCGGGCGATGCTCCTACCATGCCCGGATTTTGTTGCCTCAGCACTTTTCCGTCGCGGGTGCGTGGGTCACAGCCGTTGCTTCATTTGCACTTTGCAATTATCGCAGACTGCTTCATTCTCGATTCCAATTCGATCCTGCTGGTCGGTAAGACCGAGCTCATTCGGCATTATACAGCAACAGCCAGACAGAAAATTCAGCACTGCATCCACTCAACCGCAACCTTAAAAAAATCGGACGGTTTCCATTGAATTCGGCGAGACAATCTCGAACAGAAAAATGTTTTGGCATGACTCAAAAGTGGAGAGAGCAGAGAATGCAATCTTATAAAATTTAAGCATATTGCTCATGAATCTAACGGTACAGAAGCTATTTTCTTGGTCGATGTTTGAAGAAAAAAACCGTGGCAATCGGTTTTTATCGTCTTTTGCTGGGTTCTAAAGATGGAGGGGGAGGTCTTTCGTGCATTTCTGTGGAGGGGGATCTCAGTCCTTTATTATTGCGCCGATAGGAAAATGATAAGGAATCCGGCTGCACTGGATGAGTGGGAAAAATATATGTATATAAATCCCAAGCGCACCGTAAATAGTTTTCCTAAGTTCTTATGTTTTCTACATGACGTCATTCCTTTATTTTGTAACGCAGACAGTTGAAACTTCAAATCCATGTTACTGTACTTTTTTTAGCTCTGCAGGTGTCAAATATGAAGCCCGTTGTACTTTTCATTACGGGGATCTAGGCCATTATATCATCCGACATTTTTGTCGGATTTCTCTATGGCAAATCTGTTAAGGGTTAAGCAAAATGAACCAGAAGCGATCATCCTTATTGGCGACTCGACGTCCTCAACAACCAAGTGCGGAAGGTCTCTTCGTTCTGTCATGTGTGAGTCACACGTGATTTACACGCGAACGGACACCTGTTCATATCGGCTTGAAAATAATTTTTTTTTAAAGGTCAGCTCTGGTCAACAGCAGTTCAAAACGTTAATAACGTAACTGAGCAAAGTTACTGGCGTAAAAAAAAATGTTATTACCATGACCGCCAGCGGTATGGATTTTAATCGGGTTGGAGTGACACTGGAAAGTTTTAAAATATCCCTTATTGAGAGATGAGCGAAAAAAAAGTCCTCCATGCGAAAACAATTGCAAAAAAAATTGAACTAAATTAGTTTTTGTTACAAAAAATTTAAATTTATAAATTTTTGCTGCTTTGCATCGGAATACTGAAAAAGGAAGATGAACACAATTGTTCAGTGTAAAATAATATTTTTTCAAGCTTTTGTTTGTGCTTGTTCCCAGTCCAGGCTGAGAAAGGTAATTGATTCAGGCGGTTAAAGGAGAAAGTTTTCGCGCTCGATCCTCTACGTGACTCCCTGGGAATTGCGATTCGGAAAGGTTTCTATTGCATCAGGTCTGTAACGCGAGGGATTTCACGTCGGTAATGCCATTCTCGGGCGACTGCCAACTTTCCGAGGGAATATAAAAATCACTCGAGTGAATTGAATGGCACACGTGAAGGATGTAAAAATCATGTTTAACAGGGTAAAAACCCTGTAAAATTCAAAACGTTTCATTTTTTATTCATCTGCAAATGAAATTAGAATTTGATGGAGTTCCTATTTCGCTCGAAAGTGAACGAAAACTCATAATATTATACATATAACTTATCATGATCATATCGTGTGGTGTGTGTGGATCATATCATATCATGATCATATATTAAAACCCTATAGAAAAATACCGGAGTATTACATTTCGGGGGTTTTGAAGTAAAAAAAAATTATGGACGAATTTCGCCATAACTTATGAAGTTCTGGCTATGTAAATTGCAATATTCACCCGCCGGCATGCAATTCGTCTCGATGCAAAACCTGCCTCATCTGCGTAATTGCCTCTTTTGAGTCCTTTGAGGCTCCGTGAAATTGCGTTCAACGGTGGGATCTCATTCGCGAGGGTTAATTAATCGTGTAGATGACTCGGACGATCGGAGACGCGCTCTCGAGGCCTCACAGTTCCTAGTACTTGAGAGTACTAGTATCCGGTACTTGCAGCCCGATCTGCAGAACTCTCGAAATTGCAGGATCGGGTCGATGGCGGCAAACGCAGATCGACTCGGAAGCCCCCGAGGGAATTCCCTCCCCATCGACGCAACCCGAAGGGGCAAGGGAGGGCTCGGGAGAGGGAGTGTGAATGTGAATTGAGCTCGGCTGGGCTGATTCGAAGAGAGATTTTTGTCGTTCGATTTGCCTGAAAAGCCTTTTGCGTGATTGGCCCTGCTGTTCCGAAAACTGAAAGAGAATTCCACAATTTCGTTGGCTCGGTGAAAAAACAGGGCAATTCGGGGTTTCACATTGACAGAAGGCAATTGTGCGCCGAGGGTGATGCATGCTTAACTAATTGCAATTGATCATTAAAAATTTTTTTGTAGCATAAATAATTTGGCGATGCGAACTACGTTGGAAAAGCATCAGAAATATAGCACAATACTATTAAATTCACGAAATCGAACCAAATTTGAAACGATACGAGTTCGTCTCGAGAGTCCCTGTGATGGGAGGACGACCTCCTTTGTCGCCATTCGAGTCGCGTGGATGGGGGATCTCGCGACCCGGTCACGTCTCGGTCTTGGCTTTTCGATGCTGCTGTGCACTCGGGATGGAATAAGATGGGCCCGTTTGCTTCCCCTGGGAGTGTTAACAGGCATTTTGGAGCTTGATAGCATCGATCAATCACAGATTTTTGCCACTTTCGATCGACTTGGTTTTGAAATCGTGGAAGGTGGCACAGGAACCCTGGCTGCTCCACAAAATACGAATGAGTGATCGTGCAGATAACAAACTTTCTGGGAAAAGCTTTCGCATGCTTTAATGGAAGGGAAACCGGTCGATACACTGCTCGAGCAATGTTTCCTTTCAATCTCAAGAAAGCCCAGGCGTTGGGAATGGAGGAAATCTTGAAATAAATGCACCGGTAGGGATGGCAGGCTCCAAGCCGGTCGAATCGACGCCATTGGCGCATCCTCTGAAGCGAGTTTTATGATTTCATCGAAAATGAATTACTCTACATTAATATGCATGTTAATACTCTAATCCAAGAAAAAACAGCGCCTTCCTCGAGTGGATATTGCTCTCTCTTTCCACGTTCGTTGCTCGAAATTCCGCGCACCGATCATGACCATTTCCTCATGGTCGGAAGGTCTCTTAGTTCCCCTTGATTTAATATATAGTACATTACGACTAGTGCAGAAGTTCCCATAGAGCGATAGAGGAAATATGGAAGGGACCATCCGCTACCTCCCAACCGTTATTTTTTTTGGAAGTGGCTATGCAATGTCAAGAGACCCCTACAGATCGGGTTGGCTGCAGATGAACAGCACGAATGCAATACGTCAAGTCCCATTTTAACACTTGTCCATTACTTTCATTGAAATTTGCCAACAGGAACTGAAAAGAGCTATAGTTCGACTTTTCTTTTAGAATCCTGTGATGACTGTTAGCAGTGGCGTAGCTATCGAGTGTGCAGGGGGTGCGACTGCAATGGGGCCCAAGGGCAACTAAGAGACCTTCCGACCATGAGGAAATGGTCATGATCGGTGCGCGGAATTTCGAGCAACGAACGTGGAAAGAGAGAGCAATATCCACTCGAGGAAGGCGCTGTTTTTTCTTGGATAAGGGCCGGAGGGGCTCAGGCGTCGAGTTACGAAGAGGGTGGGGGGGGGGGGGGGAGAGGCTGGGAGGCCCTAAGGCATGAGGACGAGGTGTGTCGGGAACTGAAAAGGAAGATGAAAAGGAATCAAAGGAATTCTACGCGACGCCACTTCGTAGGATTAAATTAAGTGGTGACAGATTTCAATGCCATTCACTCTTCCACACTGACTTCAGCTACCGACGACGAATTATATGCTGCTGGAGAAAATCTGGCAAAAAAAATGACTCCGACACAACTCAATAGTAAGAAACTGTACAGAGGGACCCGTTTCATTTCTTGCACCAGGACCCATGCCAACCACGCTACGCCACTGATAGTTGGGTCATTTCCATATCAAGTGATCCAGATGCAAAAAAATCAATGCTATCGAGGTTTATCTGAAACTGGTAAATCCAAAGTTTCAACAGTTTCAGATGACCCACAATAAATGGGGTAATATTGGTAATAACAATTGTAAGACTGGAAATTGGGCAGTTTAACTTATCAGACTTTCTATGGCCCATTTTAGGAACAAAATTCTTTCTTTAAAATAATATTTCAAACTCAAACTTCAGCAGAGAAAGTTTGCAATGAATCCAGCTTTGGGGTGCCTTTCACGCTACATTAGACGAGCTCAAATATTTTTAACATATTACCATGTTCCAAAAAATATGCCAATTCAAAACTTTTACATTTTGCCAATTGGGTCACCCTTGACCTACAATATCTTTCTCAATTTCCTGGTATGACTCTTTCAGAGCATGATAAACCATAAGTTCTCCAGCATTAGAGTGAAACCAACAGAAGTTGGTTTCACTCTACTAATTAATGAAAAATTTCTTAAGTCAAACCATTTTAGACAAAATTTTCTATGAAACATCCAATGAAAAAACAGACAACAGAAACAATAATAAATGAATTAAACATATAGTAAAATTAACAGTCAATAAACATAATATAATAACATTTACAGTTAGCTTGTCACATTCCATAGGGATAGAAAAGAAATGAATCTGGGTCTCAAAAAGGACTCTTCTTTCATAACCAGTAGAAAAATTTGATAAGAAAAGAAAATCATATACAATACTTGGTCTGAATTTGACCTGTCAATGGCATGTATCCAAGAATAGACACCATTTTTTCAGAAATGGACTATTCCAAGTTTTTCAGGGATGAAGACATTCCATTCACCTATTCAGAAAAAATTGTTAAATTCCACTAGACTATTTCCTTTTTACTACATGTCTGTTGACACTGGGACAGGCACACTAAATTTTGTTTAGTAACTGTTGATAAATTTAGTGTCCAGTGTCTTCATTAGGCACTTCTTGGATAGTTCTGTTTAAGATAACCCATTTTAAAATTTCTTAACATTTAGTTTTTCCAAATAAAATATTATTTCTGAAGAACTTGGGAGTTTTCTATCATTTCTTTAAGTAATCATTCCTGTACCTGGAATCAGGCAAGCTTAGCAAAATGCTAAAATTTTCAAGAAACATTGCAAGTTCAAGAGGCATATTTTAGAGCTCCCATTGGGGTATGAAAAACACCCAAAACTACAGGGGGTTCACAAGAAACCACTACAACTTTTAAGTGTTGTAACTCACTAACAAAGCATAACAAGATACAACTTTTTGCATATGAAAGGACAACTCAAATAGTTTACATCACAGCATTAGTCCATTTCTATGATCTTGTGGACAGTTAATCAAGGGAGATGCAACTTTTTTGCACATTTTTGTATCAATTTTGGTGGAATACATTCAAAGGCGTCATACACGTTCAACATTTTCAGGACTAGTGCCTGCATAGCCTGAGCCTGGTTTCTGAAGGGCACTTCCACTCTCCATAAATTAGGTGTGCCATTTTCAAATGGATGGATGTGATGGCAGATTCTTGCTGCATTTAGTACAAAAATTCGTTGAACTCGAGTGTCTGATTTGGTTTCTATAAACCAGGCTACACATTGGACCTTTTCTTGTGGAGTTGTCTTTATCAATTCTTATTTAATCCTGCCAATATATATTTTTTACTATCTTTATATAGAAACATTATAGAGAAACAATGGCTGACCAAGGTCCTTCCATCTAATAAGAGGGAAGGACATAATGTTCAGCAATGGACTGATTTTTAAAGATAGAAACACAACAAATGGCTCAAAATGGCCCTTCATTTCAACACCAACAATGATGTCATCTTATGCATCAGCAATTGTGACTTCAACCTCGACGCCTGGCTCAATGCTGATGGAAGTGATCTGCTTCACTATCTCAGAAGAGCTGTGGAGATCGATGACTCGCTTATGGATCCGCATCTGGAAGCGGTCCCACGTCTTGCTCCCCTCACCACAGGGTGTCTTGCGTGTTGTGATGCGCAGTGTCTTCACTGGCATCCGCACAGGGCCCTTCACCTTCAATTGCTTCTCCTTGGCCCCTTTTAGCAGATCAGCACACACCTTCTCCAGGCTCCTCACATTCCTAGATGTTAGGGTGATTCGGATGCGATGTACTGGGACCTCCTCCCCTGATGGTTTTCCAATATCCTTTGCCAATGCCATTTGTCCCGGTCGAGATGATCAGGGCTGCCTAACCAGCGCTGAACCAGGAATACAACAAAAAATGTGCAAACCTGAGGGGAGAAAAAAAAAGGAATGTAAAATGTTTAAATACTGTAGCAATATATGGTTGAGAAAACTGAAGCACTTTCTAATAGAGTTTGGCAGAAAGGTAAAATGAATATTTTTCTTGCTTCTGATGCTGTAATCCCTTCATCCTTACTGCCTATGTTCTTTTGCATAACTACATCTTCTTTTCTTACTTCGAGATGAATGGTCTTTACCCTAATTCAAGCAAGATGTGTCTCAAAGAGGTAAGCACACAGGCTTCCTTGTCAAGACAACATTCTCCAAGGTGTGAAAACTGATATTTCTTTGTCTTGTAATACCAACTTATATTCTGAATTCCAGGAACAAGATCACTTACACAAATATGCACATAATTTCCTATCAAGTGTATGTAGAACATGGCTGTAGTTTACCATATTGGGGTATTTATTTTGGTTGATTTTTTATGCAACTAAATCATTTCGGTTTCATTATACTAAGCTATAAAAATTATTGAATTTTTGAATGAACATTTAAAAAGAACTTAAAACTTTGAAAGTTTGAAATTCCTAGGTGGTGTAACTCTTGGGTCTAGAAAACATGAATTGTGCCTATGCCTAATGGAACCAATTCAAGCTACTAATCCATTGCAAGAAAAAAACTGGCCATATGGTAATGAGGCGAAACTTACTATATTGGGCACTGACATGATATTTAAACCATTGAGTTACCAGCACTCACTTTTGCAAGGTAAGTGTAGAAACAGAATGAAAAGATGCTACATAATCATTGACATTGTACATGCTATTTTTATTATCACACTCACAGAGCATTAAGCTATTGACAAAGAGTAATCTCTGTAGCTGATCCAATAAGAAAAAAGCATAAGTAATATGCATAAAGTATTATTCAACCAGATGGACTGAACTTTCTCCTTGTTGAGTTATAAAGAATAATGCTTACAGAAGAAACTATGCAACACTGTAATCAAGAGTTCATGGCATATCTTTCCTTCCGTTATTACTGGTTAAACTCAATTTTCGATTGTTTACCACGCCGACACCTGATAACGTATTCCCAGGTCAATAACCGAGTGGTAAATAAATAACCAAACAACCCATCTCATGCATTTTGCTTTTTGGAAAAAATTTCCCCTCTCTCCTAGTACATACCAAAAAATTAGTGGTACAGTATAGACATAAAAACTACATCAAAACTAAATATATAACCCTAGGTCTAGCACCTGGCTAGGCCTTGGCAAGCCTCCGAATCCATGTCTCAAAAGGTTTCATACCAAGGTTAAGCAATCATGGCTGAATACATTTACAGTGGATTCCACTACCAACTGTCACGAACTATTTTCGCCAGAGCCTTTTATAGAAATGATTTTTCCTGCGCCGCATTTAGTCACTCACCTCCGCGGTGGAGCCGAAAAAAAGGAAAGAGGGGGACAAACCGCCTGAGCCAGTGTTGCCACAAATAATCTCACCCAGCATATGACTTTCGACCATTTCATTCTCCTCAATGAATGTTAATTGGGCGAGAGATATTTTTGCTCTATTCATTCAAGATAGAGAAGAATCTGATGCCTTCCAAAGCATGATAATTTATGGATTTATATGATAAGTAATGGGAAATATTCAGCATTCTCAGCCTGCCACGTAATTTCGATGTACGCTTGCGCATTAGAACATGATGGCGATATGCAGCGTGCCCTTCACTACACACATTTCGTGAATCGACAAGTGAGAAATTTTTATTAAGTAAGCTAATCTCTGGTTAATGTACGATTCCTCGGTTCTGGTCATTGCTACGTAGAGCTACAGAACCGCCTCCGTGGGCCTATGCGTGGGATTGATATTATCGGTTGTCGATTTTGTTGTTTACGGATGTCCGCTGGCTTACTCTGCTCCTCAGGTAAGATTCGGCATCGGGGTCCACGTAGACGGCCTTGGCCTGAAAAAGGCTGGTTTTTCCAGTTTCCTGTAGTTCAAGCGCCTAAGAGTTTGCGTTACAACGATCGTAGCGCTTGTGAGTACGTGGGTCTTTATGGAAGCCGGGCCTAACATTAGGATCATGTTTGGGATAGTCTCATCGAAGGCCCAACGTACTGCAAAAGCATTCTTGGATTTCAATGCATTTCCATTTGTCTTTTTCCCACAGCTCATTTCTGTTTTGCTTCCATTCTTACCTTATGCCTTCATTAAGGTGATCTGGTTTCCTTTGTCATGTAAACACTAAGCACCCCCCTCCCCTTAGCACAGATGTTTTCATGTATGTACCAATTTCCAGATTGTGTAAAATTTAGTTGGTGTTAAAAAATAACTAACTAAATGTTGAGCTAATCTTGAGGATTAGATGTTGCATGATTCCTTGGTGTGTTTGTGAGAGGCAATGATAGCTTTATTGAGTTTTTGTATTTGGTATATGGTATTCTGGGTGGACCATTTTATTATAGTGAGTGTGTCAGGAATAGTCATACATATACCTGAAGTGAAATTCCATTAAACATTGAATAATTCCAAGACTCTAGGCAATTTGGAAGATATCCAGGAGGGGAATTAAATTTGAATTGCAGTTAACTTTAGGGTAGCCTATCAACTCTTATGATTCATTTTGAGGTAAATTGTGAGATTCAGATGCAATTAATAATTCTCACACTTTTGAAGGTAGATTTAAATTAATTGCAAATTGAAAGTCATCTTTCATAATGTCACTGTTGATGTTACAAGGATGGAGGAGTTGTGAGATAGTATATGTCAGTGCCAAGTGTATGGGAGTATGGCAATGATTCAAGATAGTTAGTGATATCAAGAGGCGATTTCGCCCATTTCGATATCACGTGTCGAGGTCGAGCGTTCCTTAATTTTAGGGTAGGCCTAACCCTCTTAAAGCTAAATATTTTTGTATTTTTGTTTTGTTTTGTTTTTTTTTTNCTTAAAGTTAAATATTTTTGTATTTTTGTTTTGTTTTGTTTTTTTTTTTGCTGACTATCCTAGTTGCTTACTGTCTAGTACTTAACATCAACATTGCCCCCCACTTTTTTGCCTGTCCATGAAAGCATCCAGTTTCTTCTTAAAGGTAGCCACAATAGGACAATTCTTGAGGACCCACACTTTCAACTTGAACCACAGTACCACAGTGTGTCACATGATGAATTCTAAGTTGCTGAAATGTTTATACAAGCATGGATACCTATGTGATCTGAGGCATAGACTTGTAGCATAAACTTAGCTGTTCTCTTTATAACTTTTTATGCCCAATGAGTTCACAGCTTAGAATTACAAATTTCTTCATTAGCCTTCTTTGATAATTGAATGGTACTATTGTTTAAATGGCCAAAATAGGTGTGGTTCCAACCCCTAGAAGTCTGGATTTGTTCCCTGCTTTAAAAGTTATATCTTAATGAAAGTGTGTGGTAAAGTTTGCTTTCTGTGGAACAGGACTGAAAATAATGAGATCATAAAACTTTGCTGGGAAAAAAATTCATGTATCAGACTGTCATTCAGGACTATATGGAACCACACAGTTTCCAGTTGTATGGGTCTGGCAGCAGGTAAATTGTTATGTGAAATTATCTTTCACATGATATATATATTAATCACACTTTCACATATTGTGTACTTTTTATTTGCAAGGGATCAGGGTTGAGAGAAATTTTTTACGACCTTGTTATCAATTGCATATGATCCCACTCTGAAATGAGATTCATGAGGGTGGGTCAAAGTAGAGACACTATTTATTATACACTTCTACATGATACACAGGGTTATACCTCAGTGGTTATTTTTCCAAATTATCTCTTAGCACAACAATGCACTTGTCCCATCTTCTCAGTAGCTTTTGTATGCCTGCTACATAGATGTCTTTTGATTGTTGATGTAGCCAAACTACGACCACCTCTATCACTGCATCGTCCCCAGACAAGAGAAGACCTTGCCCCACAGTGATATCTTAAGGGGACCAAAGGGGTGGAAATCTGAGAGGGTGAGTTCAGGGCTGTAAGGAGAATGAGGGAGGACCTCCCAGCCCAATCTTTCCAATGTTCCAACTGTTGAATGTGCTGTGTGTAGACAGTCATTGTGCTGCAGGGTCACATCTTTGGACAGGAGGCCTAGATGATTTTCATGAATTTTGTCTTTGTCACATATAGCACACTGCTGCAGCAGTTGAAAGACAAAACTTGCAAATGAACACAAGAATAATGCACTTTCTATGCTGAAACTTTGAAAGGGCTGGTCTGGGAGATCCTCCTTACAGCCCTGACCTTGCCCCCTTAGATTTCCTCCTCTTTGATCCCTTTAAGTAGGTACTAGATGACAAGACCTTTGAAAATGATGCTGTGAAAGAGACTGTCCTTATTTTGCTGTGTCAACAATCCAAAGATGTCTGTAGCAGGCATATGAATGGTACTGCAAAAATGGAAAAAGTGCATTTTTGTGCTGGAGGATAATGTGGGAAAATGACCAGGGTCATAACCCAGTGTATCATGTGGAGGTGTATAATAAATAAAATGTCTTTACTTTGACTCACCCTTGTATTAGTTGATCATGTGGTTCACATGGGATGAGATGTAATAGGCTCTTTTTATGAAGCAAATAAGGTCAGCAGAACCCATGAGAGGAGTTTGAGAATTACTACTCTCTGGTCAGGTATAGCCCTAAACTTCTGACCCTGGTTTATCTGGGTTGTAATGAAATATATTTTTCATAATTTTTATACTTATATCCTTAAGCCCATCTATATTCATAGTATTCCTTTTGTTAGCATGCCAAAACTTTATATCTAGGCTGTGGTCCAAGTGAATTTCAATCTCAGTCAGTGTGGTATTATACAGGTCTGCAGAGAAGGTGATCTTAAAGTTGGAATTGTGCCACCCAATGATGGACCCACCTAAACCAAACACCTTTGCTAATTCTGAAGCAGTTGTGCCACCCAATGGGACATCCCAGCCATCTCGTTCAGCACCATCACACACTGAGAAAGTGATAAATGCAGATGGTAGAGGGCCCAGGGGAGTCCCTCATGTTGATGTGCCTTATAATGAACCAACATCTGTTTATGGTGTCAAAGGTTGGTATAATAATCAACTTTCATCTCAAAAACTGTAACATCCTAGAGATATAAGCTTACCTGGTTATTTCTAGGGATTGACTGGTATGCTCATGTTTTCCTCTAGAAAATGTTGGGAACTCTCTTTTGCTGAATGGTCCATCATCACAAGGGCCTACAGTCTCCACCAGTCCTATGCCCAATCAAGTACCAAGGACAATTAATTTGCCCTCTGGGGCCACAGTTCAACCTGATTTAGCCAGTGCTGCCAGCCTATTTGATGTAGATGGTAGTCAAGGACAGACGAATATCCATTCTCAAGTGCCAGTGCCCAAAACCCCTAGGAGCAGTGCGATTCCTGCAACCCCAGCTGGCCAGATTTCATATTCACAGGCGCGATCAAGCGTCTCAACAATGGCTCTACGGCCTGGTCCCCTGCAAGCACCTGTGATGCAAGTGCCATCCATGCCAAATGGACCTCAAGCCCCCAGACCCAATGTATTACCTAGATACCAGTCTCCGTCTGCTTTGCCTTCGCAGTTTGCCAGGCCTCCTGGCTTCCCAGGTTTGAAAATATTCTTACTATTTGAAATTTGCTGTCTTGCTACTAGAACCAGGGCATGCATGTTCTTACTATGAGGCTAGCAGTAATCAAATACTACAAATTAAGTTTTCTGCAGCAAGTAGTCCTGACTCATACTCATAACTTGATGCTTTAATGGTCAATGCTTTTTAGGCGCAAAGCTGCCTTCAGGGAATAATAAGCTAGGAATTCAAGGAGGCTTTCTCCCTCTGAAACATTACTTTCATTGATGTGAAAGATTGGGAGCATTCCCAGTTGCTCTGTTTTATTCTATTCCTTCACTCCCCATATCCCTGTGGATCACATGCGGCAGGAAGAGTATGGTTTCACAGGCCTTTTTCATATACATTGTAGCCTTGATTCCTTTGACCAAGCTGTAATGCCTGCAGTTTGTTGTAGAATGTTTAGCTAGCGTACTTTTTAATATGCAACTGCTAGTCCACTGGAAAAAAAACCAAAGTATTCATTCCTTTATCACTTCTGCCACTCTCTTGAATAGTTGATTCCATGAGTTCATAAGTCATGTCACCACTACTCATCAAAGTGAAACTGACTCTTGGTTCTGTTTAGGCCCTCCTGGTGTGCAGTCTTTGAATGGACCTACTGGTTCTCCCAGTCCTGTTCGCAATCAAGGTAGTGAGTACTGATATTGTCTCTGTTATCTAGTAGCCTGGCACCTTGAAGTCCCAAGGTCCACTAATGTATTTAACACTCAATGATTTATTATATGCTCAACCCTTCTTGCAATGCTGCTGTTGGCAATCACCAACACAGGTGGTGCTTCACTGGACAAGTTGCAGTATGCTGGTTGCTATGTTACTGAAATCTAAGAAAATGTTGATTAAATGGACATGAATCTCATGTTGGTGCCTGCTGTCATTATGCATTTGTCCTGTGCCATAGGTAGGAGTTACTTTTTGCAGTGGCAAAAAATATTCAGCCATGTTTATTGCTAGGTTAGGGTTGCTGCAGATATGGTACTTGGTGCTAAATTCATAAGAATTTTCTTGGAAAAAAAACCACTCTTTTACAAATTACAGTTTTGATGGATGGCAGTTCACATGGGTGGTGCTATTATGGGGAATCACCACTTGTAAGCTAATGGAGAATACTTTTTCTCAGGAAAGAGTTTGCAATCAGAAGGGTGGTGGTATATCAAGGGTTGATGATACTTGCAAAATAGCTGTACAGGGTGGCCCAAAAGTCAGGATCCAAAGGAATTTCACAGTTGCACTATATTAGTTGTAAATGAGTCATTCCCCAACAAGTGGATTGGATGGCAAAGTCCCATCAAATGGCCAAATAAATCACTGGACCTCGCACCTCTTGCCTTCTTTCTCTGGGAGCATCTTAAGTTAGTTGTCTACATCATACTTCCTAGAAACAGAGGAATTGAAGCAGGGTATGAATCCAAATGTGTCAGGATCACTGTCAACATGTTGAGAAAAGTTCTCCTGTTCATCCTGTGTAAAACAGATCAAGAGGTGTTTCTTGGTTGGTGGTGAACAGTTTGAGCATTTACTGTAGAAACGCAAAATCTTTATGGTTCCTGACTTTTTGGTCACCCTGTGGTGTGAAGGCCAATTACATTTTTCCATAATTGGAAATGTGTTTCAATGTTGTAGCCAATTATGCTAATGTGCAGAGTTTCATTAATTTATCTATCCTTTATGGATGTGTATTTGAGCATGGGATGTTAGTTGACTTAGGATTTTGAAGGTACAATACCTGGAAATATATTTGGCACAGATTAGATGAGATCTTAACCCTTTCAGGACTGGGTTTTTTTAAACCCTATGGGGGTATGGACATACTTGTATGTTCATGGTCCTCAAAGGGTTAATAGTACACATTTTTACCTAATAGCATGCATTTTTGGATAGTGTTGTTTTTTCATGGGACTGTAAAAAAATTTTTTTTTAACCCTGCCTGTCATCCGCATTACCCACATTGGTTGATGTCAATAAATCCAAATAGTATAAACTAACATATACAGGGTGTCCTTTAAGTCACTATACCATTTCAAAAATTCACATCTACTAAGCAGTTAACACAAATAAGAAGTGACATTAACTGAATAATTGTCATTGGGAATTATCTTTGTCAAATATGGAGGTGTTCCTAAGTTTTTAAAGAGCCTAAAAATACCCTCTGCCTATATCAATACATTTGGCATGAGGCTCAGCACATAAATAATGCAGAAACTCCCTCTGAACTCTGATGGAACTCCCAAAGACTTCCATCCAGGTGGCAAGTTTCCTTCATTGCTCAAGTGTCAGCTGTGAAGCCTTTTCTTATAACAGTGAAAGAAAAATTAGACAAAACAATAGTTTTCTCAGTCTATCAAAAATTAGAGAGAAAAACATGAAGTTTAGGAATTTTGTAGAATAGAATTCAACAACAATGTGTACCAAAAATCATGCTAAAGAAGTACACCTTTCTAATATGGTCTTGTAACTATTTCTGCATAAGTCTGATTCCAAGTCTTTGTGATAAAAAATTTCAAGGAACATTCTTTCTGTCAATGCTAACAACAGTGACCTAGTCGTTGCAGTTTGGAAAATATTGCTGTTTAAAATGATAAAATGGCTTATGGGACACCCTGTACAGTTGCCATCGTTTGAACTATATATGGTACTCATTCCAGTGCTGCCCATGAGCATCATCTTTCTGAAGAGATCCCTAATGAAGCTAGCAGATGTAGGCTTTGCCCAAGTCAAAAATAAGGGTAGATTTTTGAGCTGATGACTAAGATAATCCAGTATTATCAGAAAATATTACATTATGAAGTGCAGTACAGTTGACTCAGCATGTTGGAATACTCCTGGGACCAGCAAACTTTATTCTATTGTCTGGAGTATTGCAATAACTGAAACTATCTGCTGTATCCTATCCAAAATTGGGACTGTGCAATGGTATTTCAATAAGTGGAGTATTCCATTAAGTGGTGCTCCATTATGTGGAGTCGACTTTATTAATATTTTTGAACTAGTAAGATAATGCCATATTTGAAAATTCTTGATTCTAATTATCCGATTGTTTCAATTGTGAATGATGACGGTAATGTCACATGTCAGATAAAAGGAATAAAACTGAATGAGTTTTAAAGGTGGCAGCATGCATGGCATAAATCAATCAATATTTATTTGCCAGATTGAATACCTATTTCTTGGCATGAGGAAACAAGTGAAGAGATCTCGGAAACTATGGTGCTGTTGTTTCTTACAGGGAAATTATAATCAAGTTAATGCTATTGCATGATTTATAGCTGGTTTACCCATGTCAGTTCAGTTGTCTTATCAGAGGAAGAGTTTGTGCATGGGTAAAAACATGGCCCAGGAAACCTTGCCAATTAATTGAAGGTATCCTTGAAATCAGGAAAGTTAGTCATGTAGTGTACTGCAAAAAGAAAACAGATGCCTTACAAAACCTACAAGAAAAAGTAGGTCTTGGCCTATTTATTGTGCTGTGCAAAACAGTACCTGTTTTGTATTGGAAACCATATTCATGATTTTCTCTGACTGCAGGTTTCACATCAGGAAAAAATTACCACCAGATTTCCAGCACAAAAGCTTACATATTATATTACATCTTGTGGTATAACTCATGTACATCTTTTTTTTTGTAATATCCTTTCTAGACTTTTGATGACATTTTTAGGAAATTCATAATAAATTTCTGGTACTTCACATAATGTTGTTGCTGATATTCAACTAATGCATCATCGTTCTTGATACTCTAGTACTGATTTCATTTTAATTACTGTTAACTTAACTTAAGGAGGTTGTTGCTCACAAGTGAAGAGTGATGGCCACTAAGAGAAGTGGTCATTGTTCTTCCTAATCTCAGACCAGGCTACAAGTCTACACTATGTATGGCATCTGTCTTTATGAAACAGTTTTATTTCTAAATATTCTCCATTGCTAAAGACTTCATATCTGTCCAAAAAGACTTGCCTGCGTAAGCATCATGAAGTTCATCACAATGCAACTTGTGCAGTCCATCCATAGTTAAAGATGAATATTATATCAATAACTGAAATTTCTAAATTATTTGCTCTATCAGTTAAATAGAACCTCTGGACTTACTCTAATATTATTTATAAAAAAAACAGCATCTACATTTAATGTTGTGTTGTAGAGTATATGGTTAAAAAAATTGCTTCTTTGATGACGAGAGTTTTTTCTCTGAGTATAAAACTTCATCAGATAGTATTATGTATAAAAATCCACCCTAAGGCTGTAGTTAAGTTGCTTTGAGGATAATCAAATATGGACATCAAATAGTGCAAGCTGGTATTAGAGCTCTGGTCAATCAAATGTCTCGTTTTCAAGAGGGCAAAGATCTCAAAGTGGTTTGCATCTTCATTACTAATTTGTGCCAAGCTTTAATCTGAATTCTGCAGTATGACTGTGGCTTCACTGAATGGAGGTGCAACTTTGGCTTTGCATGTCTATTATACTAATATTCTTATATTCATACCTGATGTTATAGAGCTCCTGTTTCAATGTTTATCATAATCTGTAGCTTTTGTCACTGGTAGCAATAATGATGGTGTTTATATAGATGACAGGCATGGCACTCTAGTTGGTAGTGGGCACAGTCATGGAGTTAGCTGCTGAGCAGTGTACTGTTAATGTATCATCTATTCGCTTTTCTGAATCAAGTTAATTACTTTATCTTACATTGACATGGATGTGAACACAGATGTTCCAGCAGGGCTTCCAATAGGTAAATTCTGTAATAAAACTGTAAGAGAAGGTATTTCTTTTCCCTATTATCAATCAAGATGGTACTTCCTTTGAGTACACAGTAGGCTTGCTCCCACTTTGGTATACTCTGTGTTGGGGCTGTTCTGTATAATTGTACGTACTTGCTTATTTGGTTTTAATTTGCTCTTTGAAATTATTTGGAACATGTATTATATTTAAACAACTTTCTAGAACTCTTCTGATAAATTGGACTTTTCTTGTCATATTTACTTACTTAACTTTCCCAAGTCTTGTAGGCAATTGAAAAATTAAAAGGGAAATTGCTTGCATTCATAAACCATGACATGAGTGTAAGGTGGCAAATGCTTGTTGCCTTTTAGTTGCTAGCAGGAGTTGAACAATCATGAAGAAAGAATTAAAGTTTCTACAGTAGTTGATAAGCCTCCCTGGTGAAGTGTTGTCTTTTATTTGAAAAAGTGAGCAGGCCATGTAACAAAGGACTGCTTGGGTGTGATGACAGCAGGAGTTTTACAATGCAAGAACTGTTCAGCAGCTAACTCTGAATGCCCTCACTCTCAGTCACAGAAAAATTGCTCATACTGGCTGTCTACCTGAATGGTTAGGTGCACCATTCCCAGCTTGGAGTGGGAGTGGGTGTAGCAGACCCCCGATGTTGTGGCAGCATATCTCCTCCTCTCGCTACCTTTCCCTCCCTCTTCTTGGTTCCTTCTCTGCTTCGGGTAGGCTCTGTGTATATGGTATGACTATTGGTTAACTGAATGGGAAGAGAAGATTTCTGGGATTGCTTTTTTTTTCACAAATGCCCATTCTATCTTGCAAAACATGTGCATTTCTGTCTTTGTTGGCTGAGAGTTCTGTGTGGCTTCCTCTATTGCACATCATAATCAACCATCCTCTTGATAGAATTTTTGAGCATGACTTGCCACCCCTAACCAATTGTCGTAATTGTTGTGCATGTCTATGTTGTGGCTTGTTTGCTGTTTGAGATATTTGGGACATTGCCTTGACTAAGGCTTTCTCTTCTCTTATGCTAAGCCCCTTCCTCCCTGCAACCATCGCCCTCAGGCAGCCCTGCTCTAACTCCCAGCCTTGACCGAATGGAGGGCCAGTATGTCTCTGACAAAGCTGCGCAGCTCTGTGAGTTTCCTCTGCTTGATCCCTTCCTCTATCCCTGCATGAAATCTCCCAGTTTTCTTGTTCTGTTCCTCTCCTTTGATCCCATCCATAATCTTGCTTTGATTCTTTTTTTAAATGTTTATTAAATTATATGTTCCCAGCTTGTGCTCCTGTTACATGCTACTTTATATGTTACTTTTATGCTTAATTTGGTACATTAAGCCTAGTTTGAAAATGCAGTAAGTTGGAAATGGATGGAAATGTGATTTTATGTAATTTCATGTAGTGATCATTTGAAACTGAAATGATTGAGCATAATATCTTTTTAAAAATAATTTTTGGGTGTAAGAAATTACAATCATCCTAAGGGATCTGTATTCCCTAAACTTTGCCCTTATCTTTCTCTTTGTCCTGGCAGCTGCAAGCCTTCCTGGCCTTCCTGGTGCTCCTCCTCATCCAGGTCAATCTCCAAAGAGTATAGCACCTACATCCCAGACACCACCCAGTAACCCCCCTCATACACTTCCAATGCCACAAAGTCAGCTGCCACCTCCCACATCACAGATGCAAGCCGGTTATCTACCACCCACTCCCTCACACATGTGGGCAGGTATCCCACCACCCACATCATCCCAGATTCAGACCATTCATCAACCACCTTCAGCATCCCAGATTCAGGCTGGTTACCCACCTCCCACAGCATCCAAAATGCAGACAGGTCACCCACCACCTTCAACATCCCAGATGCCAGCAGGGCGTACAGCAACTTCACCTCAAATGCAGGTTGGCCATCCACCACCCCCATCTCAGATGCAGGCAAGCCATCCATCATCTCCACCCCAGATGCAGGCTGGCTATCCACCACCTCCACCTCAGATGCAGGCAGGTTATCCACCACCCATAACATCCCAGATGCAAGCAGGGCATGCACCAACTTCACTGAAGATGCAGGCTGGCCATCCACCACCTCCATCGCAGATGCAGGCAGGTCATCCACCGCCTTCACCCCAGATGCAGGCAGGCCATCCACCACCTTCACCCCAGATGCAGGCTGGCAACCCACCACCCCCACCCCCACCCATGTCACAGTCACAGCAGCCGCAGGGGTTTCAGCCACAAACACAGACGAGGTCCAAGTCACCAGCTCGTCCAACACATCTTGCATATAAATCTCAGCCTCATGCTCAAATGCAGTCTGGTTATCAGCCACTTCAACAAGGATATCAACCTCAGGTCCCCTTGGGGTATGAGCCCCAACAAGGAAGTATTGGCAGCCGTGAACCTGATCTGCTGCCTCGTCCTCATGCCCCTCCTCCATCTGCTTATGGGGCTTTCAGGCAATATCCTCAAATGGTGAGAGGCAAATTGAATTCCTTCTCCTTGTATATATGTGGGTTATGCCTAAAGTCTTGTCAGTGATATTTTTTCTTTGCAATTACTCATCACATGAACAAAAACTTGGTCTGCAGATGTAACTACATGCTTCACTGATTGTTGCTAAATTATAATTCACCTTCCGGTATATAGGTGAGCTTGTATTGATTCCCCCCCTTTATGGTGGGAAGTAATGAAAATGTCCTAAAGCAATGCTGAAACTTTGAATTCTTCCTCCTATAGGGTTTTATTATGCCAAACATTTACTCTTGACTGGAAAATGTGTATGGGTCCCAGAGTATGAGTAAAAGTAGTGTTTTTGCTGCATGTGGAAAGCATTCACAACCAAGTGCAACTCAGTGATGAACCCCCATACCTCAAAACCTTCGAAAGTGACATCCCAGTAACTCATTTTGTCCCATTTTCCCATATACAGGATGATAATTTTGGAGAAAATTTTTATGGAAATGTGTAAGTAACATTCAATTAAGTAGCATGTGCATATTCCATTTTTAGAATAAATGTTTTGCAAGGTTACAATCTCTACAAGCAGTAATTCAATGACGACCTTTCATTTTGACATGGTTCCATCAGTGTCTACTGTTTGAATCAGATATCAATGCACTTAGTTGCCAAAATGGGAACCATAATCCAGCAAGTGAATCAGTGAAACATGTATCTACTTTTTGCGATCAAGTTGTGAGTGGTTCTGTGATGCACTCTCTTCTGTGAGAAGTGGATACAGAGAAAAATATCACATACAAGATTTTCAGTACACCCCTTGTTGCTCGATCAATTGATGGAATTGTATGTCTAGAAACAGACATTCATAATGAAAAGAACTGATGTTCAAGAAGTAGTAATGTTTGCTGGCTCGTGTATCCTACCATAACTTGCACCTATGTCATAATCACAAAAATGTTATACAGTTGCCACCACAATAAATACATGACTGCATTCTGGCATCATTCAGCTCCTGTTCATATTAAGAAAGTTGTATAATTGATTTCAGGCCAGAGGATATGGGCAAGACCAACCAGCTGCACCAGTGGACCAAATGACAAGTGGCCTCTTGGGAATGACTCTGTCCCAAGGATTTGACAAGCTCTGGGTCTGTCCCTGCTGCTGCGACTTTATTTATCTGTGGTCAACATGATTGGTTAAAGGTGAAAATTGCTTTCTATATCCAAAGGGGAGGGAAAACCTAGACCTCCTGCGAGAACGGAAGGTCATACCACCTGGGAAGCTTGAGCCTCCAAAGGCAGTCCTTTCCAATGAACACTGGGCCAAACTCAACTGTAGTCCAGAGTATGTCCTGTTTTCTCTATCAACAATGGGAGAAAGTCTGCTGTAGAAGCATAAAACTGTTAAGCAGTTGAATATTCCCTTAATTTTGCAGAAAGGATCCAATTTGTTTAAATCTACAGACAGAAAATATGAGAATAATGAGCTGCAATCAATATAACAAACTACACAGCAGTCAATTTCTTCCCTGACTTCATCTTCCTTTCTGTTCTACCTGAACTCATGTATTGTCCTGCAGCTTGTTCCGCTGCACGATGACAAAGATACCTGAAACTGCCACCCTGCTTCAGAAGTCTCGCCTTCCCCTTGGCCTGCTCATTCATCCCTTCAGGGATTTGTCTGTGAGCAAATTTGCATCAAAACTGTTTGAAAACTTTTGTTTTTTTTATAAACTGTGTTTGTCCTATATAGATTTGAAGGCTTGCCCTTTGCACTGGTACTACTCATTTTTCTGTTTCCTTAGTGCTTAGCTGTAGTTGTGTTGTGAGTTTTATTTTTGCTTTCTTCATTCACACAATTTAACCTTTTTTTCTCCTTCATTGCATGGTCTTCAATTTTCTCCACAAATTACCTGGAATAGAGTTTTGGCATCTAGACCCCTCTGATCCTATAGACTCTTCTTTGGTGGCTTGTGGAAGTAGAAGGAAATGGTGGATGCCTTTAGCTAGCACATGACATAATCTTATCCCCACCTCATCCCTGATTCCATGGTTGGACCCATGCAGGTGAAACCCATTCCTGGCACCAATGAACTGGAGGAGGTGGAGAATGAATGCATTTTTGAACCCTTCACTGTATGCCTCTTCCCCTGCCATTTTTATTCAGTTTCTTTGGTTTGGCACTCTCAATTTTGCTTCCACCCAATGCTTTCCCTTTTGTGCATAGTACTGTAGTTGTACTGCTAGTGATGCTTCTTTTGTTTGGATTTTTCTGTTATTTCTGTCATAATTGAGTAGCTGATGTGATGTGTGGTTGGTTGTTCAGAATCTGCCAGTGATCCAGTGCCAGACAATCGTGCGGTGCAGGGCGTGTCGCACCTACATCAATCCCTTTGTTCATTTTGTGTCTGACCGCCGGTGGAAGTGCAATCTTTGCTTCCGTGTCAATGACTGTAAGTATGATTGTATTGGGGAACTGCATTAAGTGTTCACTACTCAATGTCTCTTGGTTCATATGGGGATTTGATTTATTTTTCTCAGTACCAGATGAGTTCATGTTTGACCCTGTAAGTCAGACAGTGGGAGATCCGTCTCGTCGACCAGAAGTCAAGAACTCTACCTTGGAGTTCCTGGCCCCTGCTGAATACATGGTAAGTCACACACTGTTGGTATTAACCTGTCATTGGCCTTTCAGTTGCTACCCAAACCAGATCCATGATGTTTGGAATTCCCTTGAGCACATATGAAAGTATTATAATTTAGTGAGTAGGATTAAATGCACTACTCAGCAAAGTGTAGGGTCGACCAGTTGCCCTATTCTTGACATAGATGGATCAAGATTGGCAGCACTGGAATTTGCTAACCTTAGTCTCTTTAGGATTCTTGTGCTGAAGACTGTGCATGAGTGGCTTAATGGCTCATCCTCATAACTGTAAAATGATGTTTCTTCACTGCAGTTGCGTCCGCCACAGCCGGCCACATATGTCTTCCTCTTCGACGTTTCACACAATGCAATCCAGTCTGGTTACCTGAAGGTGGCATGTGACCTCTTGCTGGAGAACCTGGATGGGATTCCAGGAGATGCCCGCACACAGGTGGCCTTCATCACATATGACTCCCGTGTTCACTTCTACTGCCTCTCTGAGGACCTGTCCCAACCACAAATGCTCATTGTCTCCGACATAGATGGTAACATTGCTCTTGCTTCCAACCCATATAAGATTTTTCCTGCTGATATAGGTCTAATTGTGAATCTGAGACAATTTTTTTGTAAGTCTTGTGTGAACTCCTACTGTTGATTCTGTATATGAGCACATAAATGCGTTTTGCATTATTTTAGACCTTTTAAATTCTGAGGGCTCTACTGACACCCAAAGGCTAAGTGAAAGCCTCAGTGGCTTCCAAGAGTAGCCTTACTTATCCCAGAAAAGAAATGTATCAAGAGTTCTGCCCAATGTTTGCAAATATGTAGTATCTGATTGACAAGCTTTCACTTGCTTTCCTCTCCAGGGATTAGACTTACTCCTGTAACCCCTCCAAGGTCAGCATTAATGAATGCTGTCCTTCCTTCACCCTAGCTTAACCCTCATTAATGCATGCTTACACTTTATGGAAATGGAGAAGGCAGCAAAAGTGAAGTCTAATAAGAGGTGAGTTTCCATCATTCAGCACCCCCCCCCAATTCTACATGACCCCCATATACCCAGATGCTCTGCAGTTAGCAGTGCTGGCTTTAAGGATTTCCTGCATGGAGCTGTGACTAAATACTATTTAATTCAAAGTAGCTGAAAATGCTCCCAGTTTTAACTTATTTTATATTGAGCTGAGGTAACATCCACATGAAGTATTGTTAGCTTACCCTTGTAGCCTTCATGAAAATTGGGAGAGTGACAATAAAAATTTTTTTTCCCAGACATGTTTATTCCATGCCCGGACAATCTATTGGTGAACTTGAGGGGGAATCTGGATCTAGTGGCTGATCTCCTGCATCAGCTCCCTCAGCGGTTCGAAGAGACTCATGAGACCCGTTCTGCTCTTGGTGCTGCCCTTCAAGCTGCATTCAAGATGCTGGTGAGTTCCCATCTTGAAAAGGTACATCCACCTATGCATCCACCCTATATTGCAGATTCCTGTGAAGTAACTGGGGCCCCAAAATTCATTGCATCATTTACTCTTGTCATTTTCAGGATAAATCTTGATTTTTGCTAGTAAATTTCATTGCATTTATCTTATCCTTTCATTGCCTAATTTCAATATGCTTCTGATATGCAGTACGGTGAGAAATAAAAAGATTTTCACAAAAGCAGATGTCTGGGGGTGCTCTCTTATTTTGAGAGTATAGTGTCCAGTTTATCCCACTGATTTCTTAAGGGAAGACTTAACATTTTTTAATATCCATTTTTTATTTAGTTATTAGGTGTAACACTGAAGTAGTAACATTAACATTAACAGTATTGACCTAAAAACAAAATATAATATGGATATTAAAAACTTTATTGTATTGTATTCTTCCTATAATAAATCAATGGGGTATCTCTCATTGGATCACCCTGTATTATTAGAACTACTACTACACTCCTGGTGCAGACACAATAAAAGACTTTCTTATAGGACAAGACTGCTTGATAGATGAGGATCACAACTGCAGCAGCCCTTGAATTCTACCTATGCACAAAAAAGATCCACTTTGATTAGAAATTATGCATAAATCATATCTTTATTTTATTTTTGAAAAGTATGGTTCTAAGAGTTTAAAATCATAGAAAGCTACCGACTTCATATCAGTATGACAGTATGTTCTTGGTGTTAAGGGGCAGTTTTGGTATTAGAAGCAATGCTTCAGTCAGTTTTATGTATGAATACTTCTAGTGCTTTAGCAGGCTTGCTTGTTATTGCTTTTCTTTAGCTGGTGATGGAATTGAAGGCATTTTCTGCATATCAGTAAATATGAATGAATGGGTTTTATTGTATTTGCATGTCTTTGCTTTTTTGTGGTTGGTGTGTATATTTATGGATCTTTATGCTTTAAAAAAAAGTTTGAATTAGCCATTTGTGTCAATAATTAACCTGTGAGGTTGTGTGACAGTTGCACAAAGTCAGTCATACTTAGCAAAAGTCTCAAATTCTAAGTTAACCAATACTTTTCCAGAAGACAGATTCTGTCTTTGAACTATTGTCTATTAGTTGCTTATTCAAAAGTTCTTCATCAAAATCTAACAAAGTGGGTTAGACTAAATCTAAATCTTAAAAAACTGAGTTAAACTCAATATTTAATAAAATCAAGGCCTTTCCACCTTACAGTATTATTCCAGAGACCTGGGAACATTCAAGTTTAGTGCATATGTGTTTTTGTGGCAGTTTTTGAATTTAATTATTTATGATTGAAATCAATTTTAATGTGCAAGTTGCTCTTTCAATGCAAAAAATAGTCCAAGTTAGTCAAATTTTAGAGTGAGTCTGGGGTGTTTTTTTTTTCAGACAGTGACCCAGTATTTGTTCTGGTAATTCCAATCCATGCCTTACTGATTATTATCTGAGGAAAAAAGAATTCCAAAACATGATTGTTTCAGTTCTAGGATTTCTTGTTGACAAGGCTTCTAACTTCCTCAAAGAAAAACTTAGTTTGGGTGAAATTTTATAGCTGCCCTAGTTTTTTCAAATGCCCTAGCTCTTGGGGCATTTGAAAATTGCATATTTATTGCATATTCATTTTCACTATTGCTTAGGGAACAATTAATGAACTTGTACTTCTTTCATGGTGTTAAGTCACCTATTGGAGGTCGAGTGACGGTGATGCAGTCATGTCTTCCGAATGCTGGACCTGGAGCTCTAGCAGTTCGAGAGGACCCAAATCTAAGGGCTGGGAAGGAGGTGCCCACAACCCATGTGAATCCTGCGACTGACTTTTACAAGAAACTAGCACTTGATTGCTCTGGACAGCATATTGCTGTTGACCTCTTCCTACTCAGCTCCCAGTTTGCTGACCTGGCCACTCTCGGTTAGACCCTGAAGACCTTTCTCTTTCTTGACTCAAAATTGAATTAGTCTTCCATTGTGATTTATATATGATTTTGATAATTCTAGATGCACTTTTCCTATACCAATTACTGCATTAATCACACCTAGGACATCTCCAAACAACATTTGACTTATTTATTAAAACCACAAGTTGGAAATGAAAGTAAAACTTGCCTCATTTTGTCATTTTCTTGCGAAAGTATATATATTTTTCCTTTACTGGAGGTGAGTATTATTATAAGGTGAACCTACAAGTGTAAAAATTCACGTCTCTCTTTGCATAAAGCAGTGTGGTAATACAGATATTACTGATTTTCCCATAAATGTATCATACTTTTGAAGATCAGAGACCCCACATGTTTACAATTAGTTTACTACCCATCAAAATCATTATCTTTATAGCTTAATGACACTGTCATCATGTTTCAGAGATATTTCAGAGATTCTATAGCCATAGCTTGTATTTCTACCAAGGGGAATGTACATCACCCAACCCCTATCTATTGACCCTTTCAAGAACAATTACCAATTGTTTGAAGGGCTGTCAATTCATAAGGTTTTTTTTTTAGTTTTCTTCTTTGTTCCAATGGAATATGATGATTTGTTTTCTCAGAATGCTGCCATTTGCAAAAGCAAGTGCAGAATAGTGGGCCCCTGAAGCTTGCTCTGTGCAGTTGTTGTGTCTGGCAGAACCTCTTTTTTTTTTACGGGTTAATGATAGACTACAACGTTTCTGTAAACCTTGAAGAGCTTTATACTTTGGGGACTTAGAATTGGGGTTGATATGTCATGGAAAGTGTACAATTTGAAGGGAAATGGTCAAAGTTTTATCAGCTACAACTCTATACATTAGCATGGAGCAGATAATCTCAATTGTAAAACATTTACTTTGATCAGAATAATTATCCCGGAAGAAGCTACCTGGAAGATCTTATTAAGAATAAGGAAATCCATTTTCTAAAGATTTTCCAAAAAAATTTGGAGAAATCAGTTCCAAAAATATTTCCTTCCCTCAAAAACTTCAGTTTTTGTTTGATTAGTTGATGGTTATATCATTTGATTTGTGATGCATGTGATTTTTCAGCGGGGATGTCCAGGTTCTCTGGTGGCTGTATCCACTACTACCCAGGGTTCCACACTCAGCTCAATCCTGTGATGATCCACAAATTTGAGGGTGACTTCCACCGCTACCTCACCCGCAAGATTGGCTTTGAAGCTGTCATGCGAATCCGTTGCACTAGGCATGGCCTTGCCTTTCATTCTTCTGAACCAGATGATTTACATAAGAAAAGAAAAACAATGAATCTTTAGTCTTAACTTAATCCTTTCAATGTTTCCTGCAGGGGATTGTCTATCCATACGTTTCATGGGAACTTCTTTGTCCGGTCGACCGACCTGCTCACGTTGCCAAATGTAAACCCTGATGAGGGATTTGGAGTTCAGATCAGCATTGATGAGAACCTTACTGGCCAGTCCAATGTCTGCTTCCAGGTTGCACTGCTCTATACCTCCTCAAAAGGTAGGCATTATGCCACCTCTTTATGCCTATGCTTTCTAATCCTGTTCATTTCTATCAATTCATGCTGTGTGTAATTCCTCTTTATCTCAGTTTGCCATGTTTTCCTTTCCTTGTTTAAGGCTGATAACAGAATTATTATGCATCATTAATTCATCAGTCCAAAGTAATTATTTTTGAGCTGCTGGTTCCTTATGTGAATATGGCAAATGAAAGGGATAGAAAGGTCCTGATGAACTAATTGTGTAACCTTTTCAATTTATTTTCTGGCAAATTGGGCATGCTAAAATAATTGCTCTCTTCAAGCCATAACTTCTCAGATTCCAATCATAAAATTTTATCTTTGGCTTATATGAGTTTAATCAATTTATCATTCAATTACTATGATCGAAATATCATCCCTATTATTTATTTTTCAGTGAGGCCTGGCTATGTTTCCTGTGCTTTTACCTGTATTTATTTTTGTTCAATAGGAGAGCGCCGTATTCGCATCCACACACTGGCCTTGCCAACTGCTGGAACTGTTCCAGATATCTTGGCCTCAGCTGACCAGCAGACTGTCATGGGACTTGTTGCCAAAATGGGTTAGCTTTTGTCATAACAATTATATTAATGCTTTTTAGCTATACTAAAAGTTATTCAAATCAAGAAATTGCCATTGGAGTGAAGACTGACAGAGGAGAAGATTCATATGAAGATACCTCAATGCAAATACACTGTTGTTGGTAAAAAATATGGGAGGATGACTCTGGTTTTCTGTTGGCAGCTGTGGATCGAACACTGAACTCCTCGCTTACTGATGCACGGGATGCATTTGTGAACATGTTGGTGGATATCCTGAGCACGTACAAAATGACACAGAACCTGGGATCGAGCCAGGGGATGCTTCTGGCCCAACCATCCATCAAGCTCCTCCCCCTCTACACACTTGCCCTCATGAAACATGTGAGTCAGACTCAGGAGTTGGTTCCTTCTCTGAAGCCAAGTGTTTAGCATTCTCTCATCACACAGTGGGATCTGCATATGTGATTGGCTTGTTCTTGTTAGAGTTTGCCTTGAATAGAAAATTAGGTGTGCATGAATCCATGTTTGACCAGCAATTATGCCAAGTAGACATTAATGTGTGGGTACTTCTTTCCTACAGTCCTTCTGTAGTCCTACCACCAGTCCTCGATTGACTCATGGGCTTTGGCAAATGGAATGGCACTGGTAGTGAGGTTTTTATTTAGCCAGGATTTTCTTCTGGGCCTTGGAATTACTTGGCTCACAAAAAATGGCATCAAGTGCATTTTGTTTTCATCAGCTCTGAGTCAAGCAGATATTGACCATTTGGCCTAAAAAACCATGTAGATATTTTGAGGTCACATTAGTACAGTCGAACACAGTTATAACGAAACCTCGGTTATAATGAAGAAAGTGCCAGGTCCTGGCATAGAGCCCCTAAGGCAAGTTACATTTTACCTTGGTTATAGCAAACTCAGTTATAACAACGTCCATTGAAGATCTCACAGATGAAATCGACAATGTTTATGTCTAAACTGAAATTTCCATCATCTGAAAAATTAGCATTGGCAAGCCATAACTTTATACTTCCTGGATTCAGCATTTCTTGAGAGTCATGTGGGTGTGGCTGAAGCAATGTTAGGGAGGGATAATCCCCAGTAAGTATGATCACCTTATCTTCAGTCGCCATTTGCATTTCTCATTGACAACATGGCCGATGGAAAATGAAAGAGGCAAGCCTTCACAATTGAAAGCAAAGTGTGCTTGATTAGTTTAATAGAAATAGCTCAAAGTGAAGCTAACGTTGCTCGCGAACATGGACATCTGTTCATCTGTTTCCACAATTTGGGAAAATCATGACAGCTTCATCCATGCTTACAAGAACATGTCACAAAACAAGAAACTTCCTAGGTCTGTCGAGATGACAATGACAAAGCCTTGCTAAAATATAAAGTAGTTCAAGGTCCAAAGAAGTGTAAACATCATGATTAGTGGGTCAATCTTGAGACTGAAGCTAGTGAGGTATGATCAATGTAAACTGGAGTTGTAATGTTATATAGCATCAATTTTGAGGAAAGGAAAACAGAGTGCCTATAAAGGCAACCTCAGTTATAACAACAGTTTTTACCTGGTCCCTTCAATGATGTTATAACTGAGTTCGACTGTAAGTGGAGGCAAGGTATGCCTGTATAATCTCTCCCCAATCCAATCTTTAGACCAAACAGCATCCCCAGTGCAATCAAGGGAGAGGTTCTCTTGCAGTATCATAGTATGGTGTTTGTATTGAGGAAAATGCATGCAAAAGAGATAATTCAAGAACAACTTTTAAAAAATCCATATGGCTCCATGAATGCTAATAGTGTATTTTGAGATTTTAAATTAGAGTCTAAACAAATATTTTAACCATACTTGTCCTGTTATGAATTATAACTTGAAAAATTTTAGAGAAATTTCATGAAACCATAGTGAATCCTGCTCAAGATGTGAAAGCGTCTTATTGACTATTCAGATGTAACAAAATGCTGATACTTAGTGGCAAGTATCAGCAAGAATCAATCAAGAAATATTTATTGTTCCAAAATGTCCAAATTTGAGCAAAATATGCTACTTTAATGCAGGCCTTTCTCCATGTTGACATTCTTTTTAATAGGTCTATCTGAGGTCTCAAGGTTCTGATTTAATTTACGTCTAGGTGGCTTTCCGAGTGGGTGTGAGCACTCGTCTGGATGAGAGAGTGCATGGGTTGAACCAGATGAAGAGTTTGCCCTTGGATGACCTAATCCGACACATTTACCCTGACCTTTATCCGCTCCATCATCTCAGTGATCAGGTCAGTCACTCAGGACCTCCTCTCCCTGCCATCCATTATTGTCCTTCATTGAAGTATGACTGCTTACTCCATGGTGAAACCCTTTGTTGCAGTTTGTGACGGGAGAGGATGACGAGGTGGTGATGCTGCCACCGCGCCTGCACCTGTCTTATGAGTTTGTGGATGGGAATGGGGCATACCTCTTGGACACGGGGGACATGTTCATTATGTATGTGTGCAAGGGGATCACTCCCCAATTCATCCAGGACATCTTTGACCTCCCCAACTATGATGCTCTGCCTCATGAAATGGTATGGTGACTGTGATTAGTACATGTGATTATGCTTGGATCTTGGAGTCAAGTGTGGTAATGTTATGTGCCAGCAAGGTGGTGGAGAAAATTTGTTTCAGGGTGAGCTCACTCCTGACCAGTCTTGATTGGATGTTGAGAATGGAAATAGTATGATGTAAGATATCACTGGTGCAGGACTGGGCCAAGCAGTAGAGGAGTCAGGAGGAAAGAGCCAGAAAGAAAAGTTAAAAGAGGTAGAACCGTAGAGGAAGTAGTCATTTTGATAGATGAAGGATTTAGATGAAATTGATTTTGCATACCAGAAATGGAGCATACAGTCTTGAACAGTAACCCTTCCAAAAGAGGTTATTATGGGGACACACTCTTTTATTGAGTTTGACCCCTGTTCCATTAAAGTCTGAGTGGACATTTCTCCATCTTACATCATGAATGGGGATTCAAGATATGGCAAGACTTCTAGGTGCCACCTTTTTAAAAGTAATGTTGCAGTGTTTATGGTGTGATAGCTTTGAAAGTGATTCTATGGCAAACCTTCATCATCACCCTGCTGACACTGTCAATAAACAATGCAATCAATCTCAAAAAAGGTATTTGTTTGATATGTAGTTTTCTGCTAAATGTTCATTTAGTCGGACTTGCCTGAGGTGGACAATGAAGCATCGGAGCACTTCCGCAGCTTCATCTCCCATCTGCAGAGTGAACGCTTCATGCCTGCTGCATTCCTTATGATCCGGTCAGTCCTTTATAAAATTATTCCCTCATTTGAGATCTCACTTTTGTTAAATTGATTACTGAAGAAAATGTTGCATCTTTCTTCAGAGAGGACAGCAAGAACAGAGGATTGTTCACACAATGCCTGATTGAGGACCGTTCTGAAGCCGGGTCATCATACATGGAATTTTTGCAGCATCTGAAGACTCAAGTCAAGTGACCTTTGACCTGTGCAAACGTTTGACCACCATCATTTGACCACACGTGCAGCGGCTGCATGCACTGTCGCAACGAGTTGATATTTCTTCATCCTCCGAATCCCTTTTTTTAATCGAATTTTTATCGTGGGCCTTATGGTGGCTGGGTATCTTTGGGCCAGTCACTGCTCAGGTGTGGCACGACCACAGCAGGCAATGCCCGTTTGTCACTGTGGTCCGCTTCACTCTCGTGTGATATCCCAGGAGGCAATTTTTTGATCGTTTGATGCATTCCCTTTTTGCGTGTATCTATCCCTCATCTGTCTGTGAATATGCATCTTCATAGGTTCAAATTGCGTTTTTCATTGTCCTGCCGTTAGTTGTCCTTGCCCATTTGCTATTCTTGGGGTGGTCATTTAAAAGTGCATTGTCTGCTGCCTGGGTGAAAAAAGGCAATGGTTTTTACCTTATGTGATACCGTGAGATAACAGAAATCCATTGGCTGCATATAATAGTGTATCTGGCTGCTGAAGCCCTGCACTTTGGCTTCAAATTTCCTATCATTAAATAAATGTTATTTATCATGCATCCATTCTGTTTCTTTTCATGAACCCCTGCTTTCGAATCTGTGAATGACCTTATCTTCTGGTCATAATTACACTTGGCTGATTCAGATAGCCCTATGATCCCGACAGGATTATGTTCAAAGTGGGAAAACTCTATATCACCTTGTATGAATCTTTTTAGAGCCTAGCAGAGCCTCAATACTGTATTCCACTAATCGGCACATTCTGGAAGGAGATTGTCTGGTTACTTTGAGAAAGAGGTTGTCTGGTTACTTTTATGCTCATGGATAAGCATACTCTGCCTAAATACTGTGTCGATGCTTCTCGAAAGACGACTTAGTTTGAAACCTTTCGAATCCGCGATCATAAGCGAGTCCGTCTGGAGAAACTTCGGCAGGTGAAACGGTCAAAAGTCGATAATTTAAGGGATACTGCTCCAAAAATGCAAATCAGGCAGCATCGTCTCCCATCATTCACCGACTGCAGCCGGTTTTCCTCTTGACCTCATCCCCGCCATTGGATTCTTTCGCTTGCGCAATTCCAAATGAAGAATTGAGCGGCGGACTGGGCCCAGCCATCCTTCAGTCGAGGCTCTTCTCGTCTCTTACGAACTTCAGTGGAAAAGGGAGCTTGTGAACCACATGCTATCACAATCTCAAGAAATTCTGAACGACTAAAAGGAAACGAAAGGGCCACGCGGGAAACCGCTTAGGTTTTTTTTTTTTAAATTTATATTGAAGGTCTCTTAAATTAATTCCCTGGACTTCTTTCTGTCTTTATCGGTCCCATGACCGCGAAGTCATGGCGCCGATGATGTTGTCCAGGCAGTGGCGTAGCTAGTCTTCTGTACCCGGGGGCAAGTTACAAAGTCTGTGCCCCCAGGCCCAGACAAATGTAGTTTGGGGGATGGGGTGGAAACCTAAGCATTTGAGAGCATTTTGCATATATAACAACATTTAATTTTTTAAATACTGAAAGTACTGTTTCACAGACATTGTAAACACAATATGAACGTTGATATTATTTAAAAAAAAGGAAATGATTTCATTTTTTATCGAGAAAATTACAATTTTAGAATATAATCGAATAACTTGAATTCACTGCCAAATACCAGTGACAGGAGAAACTTAGAGTAATACAGTATTAACAAACGCAATCACATCCCTCATTCGTCGGGCTCACACCGACCGGATTCCCTGCTAATGGCAGTCGCGAGCGGGCCTGAGGGTCCGGAAGCACTCGACGAGCATGCGGCCAGATCGGGTGGCCCCGACGGCCTTGTCCAGGCTGGAGGCAAGGGCCTCCCCGAGTTGACTGGGCCGCTTGCGTCGGTGGGCTTCGCAGAGGAGGACCATCTCCACGGCCTCGAACACCTTCCACTTGATGGCGTGCACTTCCGAGGCCGAGAAGTCTTCGGTGATGACGGGGTCTTCGGTGACGACGGGGTCTTCGGTGACGACGCGATCTTTGGTGACTTCGAGTAATTTCGTGACTTCGGAGTCTTTCGGAGCTTCAGGGTCTTCGGTGACTACGGACTCTTCGTAATCTGCATCGTCGCAATCGTTCCAGTCGCCTGGATACTCGAAGTCCCACGGGGAATTAGGAGGGAATTGGATCCACACCTTAACGAATCCTTTCTTGGGGTTGGTGCGGGCACCGACGCGCACGCCCATCTCGCCGAAACGGGAACGAGTGATATGGGGGGAGGGAGATAGTGAATCTGAAGTCGAGCTGGATCTCCGAAATGCATTTATTGCCCAGATAAATGCATGCCTTCCTTCGCGCATGTTTGCTTGCCACCGGGACTTCGGTCGTGATAAGGGATTCCTTTGTGATTCCAAGGCCGAAGGTGAAGCAGGACGCGAAGGGGTGTTTCTGTCTCGTCGACCCATAAGAAATTATTCTTTTTGGAGGCAGTGTTTCGACCTACTGGACGCGGTTTGTGCTGGAAAATTAAGCCACCTACTACAGGTTAAGCCATCTCCAACGGGAAGATAGATGAAGGGCCGGCAAGGCGATGTTCTGCTAACACGTTCCACCCATGCACCGAAGTCATCCTGAGGAGTGTTTGACGGAGTTGGAAGGACAGTAAAGAAGTTGGCTTCAAGTGCCAGTTTCCAACTACCACACAACCAACAGATAACGACGCTTCAGCAACTGTTCCAATTGGCAACTGAGAATATCCCAATCTTTTTTGTTTTAAGTATTGCAGATTGGGAGACTAAAGGAGAGAGGCTAAGTTCCTAGGAAATAGAATTGTGCAATCGCCCACGATTCCTGGAACACAAAAGCTTCATTCTTTCATTCTATAGACGAAGAAAAAGTTGCCACCAAAGCGTATTCCTTTCTATCTTTTTCCATAGAAGAGAAAGTCACTGTCCTGCGACTTGCAACTGGAAAGCTTCAGTCATGAATAACGGGGTGTCCTTCAACTTCGTCCAGTTTTAGCTTGAATTACGCTTTTTTAAACAAATTGTTGTCAGTTAACTGTCACTGGTATTTTTGCTTTTAGGCAATTGTATGGGGATTTTCATGTATCTTCTATCTCTCTACTGTTTGTATCTTCTGATCCCATGTCTGTCCCAAGTTGAAATTTTGTGCACTAATGCAGAAAGAATCGAGGTCATTTTTCAAAGGAAATAAAAATGAAATTGTTTCTGTAAATAGAGGTCAAAGGTCAGATCTTTTGACCTTTATTTATATTTAAGGTTCTTGAGTGGCAGATCATTCGAAAGAACACGAAGAGACCTTTAAAAATACACCAATATCAGTTTATTACGTTGATTATGGCAAAAATTAGGCGTACTTAAGCGATGACGACTTGACCCAAAATTGGTCACTTTTTGCCACTTCAAATTGCTACATCTCTGGAAGTACTTGAGAGGTAGAGCGCTGCAATTTGGCTCGGGATGGTTTTTCAATAGCCCCTACAAGTTCGGCAAATTTCATGGAAATCGGAGCCCGGGGTCTGGTCAATTTGTCTTTTTTTGTGTGTTGATTTGACATCGAATAACCCAGATGATTTCTGCATATGTGGAATGTCTCTAGCTTACGCGATTCAGTAATGTTTTCGTTACGAACCCATTCAGGGTTTCTTCCATGAATACCATCGCTTTATTGCTGCAACGCAAAGCAATTTTGGTTCTTTCTAGCATCTTTTTTTAAAAATTAATTCAAACCGGAGTGAAGTAAACCGAGGGCTTACCGAACGAGGACTCAACTTATAGCACCTGCATAAAAAAGTATTGTGTGCCATAGAAAATTGCATTTAGTTGTATGTGTGTCTGTCAGCGCTCAATATGGATTATGGAACTCAGAACTTCAGCTCAAACCGCTGAATATGGAACGCTAACAATTTTTAACACTGATTCCTTAGCTTCCAAGAATTAGTTCATTCTCATGGAGAGCCATTTGCTACGATGTTCTGTTTTCCATATTTTCGCGAAAAACTCTATTTTGCAATGGGAATTTGCAATATTACCCATCACGGTTTCTGGCGTCATGGATGCCATTGACTAGAAATCGACTAGGAAAATAAAGATGCTCATGGACTCGAGCCAATCGGTGCATGAGGTCTAGAGTTATAGGTAAAAGAATGGGTTACGAAATGATGGAGCTGCAGCCCTGCCATCTGGCAATTACTTCAATAAACAAGGTTTCCACAAGAGAAGAGTGATGGCGATGAGGGAACTCGTGACGAATTTGCGAGGGAGATCGGCGAGAAGTACTCTCAACTGCCTCCCCAGACGTTAGATGTAGAGACCGAATGGACTCGGTCTGGTGTTTCGGCGGCGGCAGCTAGAGTGTGTGGGGAGAAGCGCATCGGAGTGGCTCACGGTAACGCCAAGCGAACGCCCTGGTGGACACCAGCGGTGCGCGAGGCTGTCACTGCCAAGAAGGTAACCTACCGGGCATACATGTCCAGTAGGTCTAATTCTTCTAGGGCGTGCTATACCGAGGAGCGACGAACTGCTGCTCGTGTTGTGGCCAAAGCGAAACAGGAGGTGTGGAAGGAATTCGGTGATCAAATGGAATCTACCACCATCAAATGGACTACCGCACTGCCATCAAGGTGTTTTGGCAAACCATCCGAAGGTTACGGCAAGGCAGGCAACATACGCTCCGGGTCATCAAAGACAGAAACGGGGAGGTGTTGGCTGCCGAGGTGGATATACTTAGGAGGTGGAAGGAACACTTTGAAGAGCTCTTAAACCCACCAACAGTAGTACAAGGTGGAGTGATTACGTCGCTCGGCTTTGTCACGAGAGGCTCGGCATCCCACCAACTGAGCTTGAGTCTGTTGCCCAGGATCGAGATCACTGGAGGACGCTCCTAGGAATGCTTGAACCGCGACCCCATTAAGTTGGGAAAAGCGGCCAAGAAAATGTATGTATGTATGTAAGTGTGATGGCGAATGAATCGCCGTTGTTGCCAGTCATCCGCAGCGAGTGCTAGAACCATTCAGGGAAGATCCCGCGTGAGCTTCAAGAAGACATAAAAAGTTCTCCAAAACGAGATATATAAAGTTCTCTCAAACGATCCCAGCAATTTAACCCCTTTCATCGTTGAGGAAAACCTCAACCCTCGACTGACATTGTCAATTAGGCCTATAAGAGTCGATCTCAGGGCTTACGAGACATCCTGTCGGGACGTGTAAGGTTAGGCCTACCTGGAGTTCCTCGAACTATCTCGACGAGGTCTGTGGAAAGACTGCCTCCGAAATTCGAATGCTGGTTGGTTGCCATCATCAGCAGGGATGTCCGTTCACCACCACATCGATCGGCCATCGCTAACCACTGTTCCGATCTCAGCCCATGAACTCAGCACAAAAATGTTTCATGTGTTAAAAGAAATAGACAGTAGAACTTTTATTTTGTAATTAAACTCATTTCATTATCATCTCTTTCCTCATTCAGGAAAAAGAAAGATGCCATAAAATCCTCTGATTCGAAGATGTGCACTCTCTTCGCGAGTGCGATTTGCTCTCCTTCGGTGGATGTAGGTCCGGCTTCGATGGAAGAG